AAGCATGCAAATGCAAGTAGATAAATAGGGACCACTTCGGTGGGAAGGTAACAGCGTTCCGTGTCTAAGTCGCACTGGCCATGTGACCACGGAAGATTGTCTTCGGACAAACGCTGGCTCTATGGCTTGGAAATGGGGATGAGCACCGCACCCTAGAGACACAACTGGAGTAAATGTCAAGGTGAACCTTTACCTTTACTAGTAAAGGTAAAGGTAAAGGTAAACGTTCCCCTTGACAATTTTTGTCCAGTCGTGTTCGACTCTAGGGGGCGGTGCTCATCCCCGTTTCCAAGCCATAGAGCCAGCGTTTGTCCGAAGACAATCTTCCGTGGTCACATGGCCAGTGCGACTTAGACACGGAACGCTGTTACCTTCCCACCGAGGTGGTCCCTATTTATCTACTTGCATTTGCATGCTTTCGAACCGCTAGGTTGGCGGGAGCTGGGACAAGCGACGGGAGCTCACTCCGTCGCGTGGATTCGATCTTACGACCGCTTGGTCTTCTGACCCTGCAGCACAGGCTTCTGCGGTTTAGCCCGCAGCACCACCACGTCCCAGTACCCTTTACTAGTGCTTATGACCAATCCTGGCATGTGCCCAGGATCCCTTATGTGAACTTTCCTTGTATGGGAGCAATGTTTTAAGTGCCAGCAGTGATGATACAATGTTGACGCATCTTCAACATATTATTTCTGCACTTTAAGAACAGCACAAACCTGTTTGTACCATTGTTGTTTAACAATTTCAGATGTTCTTATCAGTGAACTGAAAGAATATTTTAATACCTGCGTGGGTATATATGATATGAAAAAGCTCAATAAGCCCTTTGTTGTTCTGTAAGTACAGATCATTCTGCTACACTCACATATTGTTTGTTCCACTGTATTTTTCTTCCCAAAGAGACTATACTGGAAGTAATTGGTTTTTCTTTGTAGCTCATTTGGCATCTTCTAGTTGCTGACAGTCCTAGAATCCTTGATGAAAAATGGAGTTGGCTAACCCATTTCTTCTGAAGTGTGTTAGTTTTCTTGAACGTTTGATAGAGAACATTTTTATTCATTTAAATGACTTGGAATAATTGGCATACAAGTTCATTGTGCCTCCAGGGAGCTTTGCTTAAAGGTTACCATTTTGAGAAGGAAAGCCAATTACAAAATAGGTTTCTACCTTCCCCTCAATTCTTCTTTGAGTTTTTACAAAACTGACCTCGTATGTGTGTGAGAGAGAAGCGAGAGCGAGAGAGTGTTCTTTACTAATTTGCTTTCTGCAGTTTTGGACAGCTTATTTTGCAGCAATGTGATTTTGCCTGTTCAGTACTGATGCGCTAGCTCTTGTCTCTGTCTCAAATGCACATACTTGTGCACCACTGGATTTTGGTGATTAATGTCTCCCTTCTCGCAACCTGAGACTCCCAAAGGCTTTCCCAGATAAAAAAGGACCCTGAGGGGGCCTCCCAATCTAAAACAGGGCAATAGGAAGCATATAATTAATTTAAATTAAAATTTATTGGCACCAGTTGGTGACATCATCAGCCTCCACTACATAAAGTTATGCAAGCAGGATTTTGGCCAGGGCATATTTGTATCTGAAGTTGTGTTTTATTTTTTAAGAGCTTTAAAGACGGTACGCCTGAAGTGTTTCCTTTGTATTGTAGATCCCCTGCCTAGGGTGATAAAGGCATCTGGAATCTTTGTTCCTGACCCATTTTGCTTCAAAGAGACCTTAGCACACTTCATTTTTCCTACAAGCAGTTCCTTCTCTTGGAGAGTGTTGGTGAACAGAACTCAGGAGTATACAATTCGTAGCATTTGGTTTTGGGCTCTGTTGCTATTATTGTTGTTACTGTTTTGTTTTGTGGGATCACATTTCTGTAAAGCTCGTTGTGTTTGCAATTCTACTTCAGACTCCATGTCAAGCTGGATATCACTTTTGTACCATTTTTGGGGTTCTATGGGGCAATCTTCTTCAAATTAGTACTTATTTTGTGGCATAGAAGCAGGCTGAAACTGTCCAGTATGCCATTTTTACTCATCAGGCATGAGCCTCCTATGTGATCCCTTGATCATTCCTGTGGAAGTTAAAGTGAAAGAAATGATGATTTTTTTTGCAATGTAAAAGAGCATTGTGGCCAGTGCACATTGTAATGTGCAAAATATTATAAGTCTGATTGAAGGAAGAACCACTTTAATGCTGCAGTGCTTCACTTATTAGGGGGTAAATTCCACTGAACATATTACGACTTACTTCTCAGTAAACATCAAAGCACTGTGATGTTAAGCTTCATGTGCCTGTAGCCTGATCAATGTACAACAAGGATGGCTAAGAATGACAGCTTGTGACATAATGAAGGCAAGGAGTAGGAATGATGGTGCAGATCAGAATTGGCCAGATTATAAAAAAAACAAAAGCAAAATTAAAGGTGTTGACTTAGCTAAACGTAATCCGCTATCAGGATAAATAGGGCAATTTTGGTTCCTGTCAAAAGGTGAGTCTGCAGGGTTGTTTTTAGGAGACTCCATACAGTGTTTAGCATCTACCAAATGTTGCCCATAACTGTTGTCCTGCTTGTTTATCACACAGTTATAGAAAAGAACGTATGGTATTGCTCTGCAAATCTATCTATATCACACTTTCCTCTTTCCTTTTATAAGAATTAGCCTTGCTTTCATTTGGAAATTGAATGTCCAGTCTACACACTGATTTGTGCCAATCCTTAAGGCAAATGTTTATTTCCCCCTCTTATGATCCCTCCAGGTATCCACAAATATTTCAGAACTATGTACTCAAGACATAACATATGCACATGAAACTTTGCTCTCTGAAAATTTATCAGTGAAAAACCCAAACCTGGCTAATTTGCTAAATGCAGACAGAGGCAATTAATGCTAGAAAAAAAAACTGATAGTCTTTCCTTATTAAGTAGGCTCTGCTTCTAATAGCATATTAACTCTCTTATTTAGCCTACATGAGTGGGACACTGAAGGGGAACATTTAATATAATACACCCAGCATTTTGATAATGACCCACTCCTCTGTTGTCAGAATTCTACCCACTTCATTTATCACTTCTGTGGAATCATTTTTATATGTATGTAAACAGTTCTGATCTCATCGACTTCAATGGCCACATTTCTGCTGACTTGGATAGAAACCTAAAGAAAAAAGGCCCATCAGTTCTATCAGTCACAGAAGAGGATGTGCTTCTTGGTCAGTCCCCACAGTGGAGAGAAATGCCATATTATGCCTGAAGAGCATATAGTATTCAGGGTAATGGCTAAAATGATTACAAAAAAACACAAATGTTATGAAACAGAAAATTGGGACCATATGTTTCAAAGCAGCACCATCAATCCAAATGGAAAAGCAAAGTGTTCTCTGTTGGCTTTTTCTACAAAACCAGGAAATCAATAAAGAACCTATCTTTCCTTCCCCAACAAACCTATGTTCATTTGTCTTGGAAAAGAGATATCTTGAATGACAAATTGAATCAACATGTGATACCTCCCCCCCCACATACTTTCTTTGATATTTTTGAGCTGAAATATCACAGTTGTTTGAATGCAAAAATGTTATGTTACACTTTGAAACAACTGGATTCTTTTAAAAGATTCAACACCTATAGATTTAAAACACAAAGGTCACATTAAAACCTGAAACTGTCTCTCTATTGGGTGTTGTGATATTAGTGAGAAAATCCAACAAGAATGTTGAGACTATGGACAGTAGATACAGAATGAGAATTATGGTTGTTTTCGGGGTGAAGTTAACACTGATGTATCACTCTTGTTGCTTTGTGTGTTCCCTTATGTGTTTCATTTGCATTGTGTTGCCACCATGCTGCTGTATGTTATGGTTATACGTTATACTACCTTGTAGGCATTGAGTGTGTGAAGCCAGTCATACCTTCTTCTCTAGCATTTTGGCCCACAGATTTGACTAATGCTGTTGTGGGTTGCTAAGGGTAACAAGCTAAGCAAAATAATCTTCCAGTGATGTATTGCCTAGCTAAAAGGAAAACACTTAGCTTTTCCATTTATTTGTCCTGAGCAGATTTGCATCTCTTTGTTCAGACATACACATATGAAATATGTATACTGCTAGAATTTTTTAAAGTTTGAATCCAAACAAGGGCTAAAATATACATTGCTCTTTTTATGCAATGAATTGTCAATGGATCACAAAATCTGCTCAGTTGCTTCAAACTAAAGTTATGTTAGCCAGTACACCAGACAATCTCTGATATTTATACACAGTTGCTTCTGTATTAATTGAAAATAATATATAGGGAGTGAGACTACTGCATTGAGCAGTACCTGAAGAATGGGACACTTCTTTCACCATTAAACAGCAACCTGATAGTTAACTTCCAACACATCATTGTTTTTCCCTCCCTCCTCTTACATTTTCATTATTTCTATTCTGGAAACTGAGACTGATATTACATTTATGGATGTACAGACTGCTTGAGTGGCAGAAAACAAAAGAAGGAACACAATTGACTCTACCTACCTCAGAGGTGAACCTTTTGGCGTTGCAATGCCATAGCCTTTGGAATCCAAGTTACCTCCCACCTTCATGGTGTCACAGGGCTTTCTCTGCTCAATGTACTCATTCATGGTAGACTCTAGCAGGTAGGCATACTTCCCTTTGGATCTCCTCACACGCTTCATTCCCTCTTCTGTTGTCGGCACGAAAACAGAGGGCTCAGCTGACTTCATGTACGTCCACATCTTCTCAAAAACCGCTATTTTAGATCTCTGTCCAGAATAGCATAAATCCACTGCTCTTAGCACGTGTTAATACACAGAGCAGAGATTCATACACCAAGGAAGACGCACATTGGCTGGGCTATGTGCCTACGCATGGCATAGACAAAAAGAGGAAAGTACCCAAGGCTGAGAGGGCTGGCTTGTAGAGGTGAACAGCCACCACATGATTTATGCCAACAGTCACTAGGTGTGTGGACAAAGGTTTTGTATGAGCTGGTGCTGCCTTTATGTGCTTCTGCCATAATCTCTGTGACTACATGGACACATTTTATGGAACACCAAGCATAATATTCAAAAGGAAGAGAGATGAGAAACTCATTTACAGTGAAGGCAGAAGCTTGGGGAAATGGTTTGGAATTATGATGCCCAAAATTCACCAACCAGGGGAATTCCAAGCTCTAAGCTAAAAAATAAATAAATATTTAGTCTGAATATTAGGAGCTAGGCTAGAAAGGCAGCCACCATCCCTAAATACCAGCGGAGTGGAGTGGCAGAGCATTTGATATATGCAAGTAAAAGGTCAATTCATAGAACTTCTAATTTGGTGTTCAGGTGAGGAAAGACCTTGGGGTGGGGTGGGGGGGGATACTGTCCACTCAATTAGACAGTATTCAAATAGCGTGACTCATGCAATCAACAGTAAAAGCAGTTGAACCAAACAATTTGAACTGTATTCCATGAATAGACTGGGAGACCTGGAAAGAACATTAGAGGGAAGTGAGAAGCATGGGACATTAGAACATTGAAAGGAAGTGCATTTCTAAAGGTTTTGCTTTGTAAGCTCCTTTGAAATGTAACATCAGGATATTTACATATGGTAAATGGTGCCATTAAATTGCAGAGCTAACCAAGTACTTATTATTCTCTAAACCTGTGCTGCAAGTCACAGGGTAATTACTTTTGATGCTGCTAAGTGTAATTACTCACTAATCTGTGGAAGCATATAATTACTCCATGTTTCTAGGGTATTTATGGACTTTGACAGAACCTTATGTATGCTCCATTTTCTGAGCTAGCATGAGATTTTGGCTTTGTATATTGAAGACAGAAGTTCTCTTACCTTGAAGAATTCTTTAGTAGAACCAGCGTCCAGAGTCCCATAAGCAATCTCTGTTTGCTTGGCTAAGTCTTCTGCACTCTCTATAGGAGACACCATTCTCTCTACTGTCAAGAAAGCCGCTAGATTGGCAGTGTAAGAAGAGATGATGATCAGAGTGAAAAACCACCAGACCCCGCCAACTATTCGTCCAGAGAGAGATCTGCAGGTGGGGGGGGTGGGGGGAGAGGAGGAGGAAAAGGGAAAAAAAGATAGAAATCATGAAGTCAAATTAAAAGTGTAGATAAATTATGGAGTGGTGCCAATAGAACTTTTCTGGTGGATGATATGTAGGTCTCTGGAACTTACTGGACTGCGGCAGGATTCACCCCCTCACCGTCACCTGTACTGGCTAGCACTGATGGGAATTGCAATTCAATCACATCTGTAGGGTTACAAGTTACTGAGTACTCTTCCGGGTAGGGCATCTTCTAAAATAGCTCTGGTGGACTAAATTCAGAATAGATTTATCCAAGCCTAAATGTGAATGAAGAATTACCCTTGGGCTGGAACTGAAAATACTGCTAATTAATACCATCTTTTCTATCTCGGCACTAAAGTTTGCATGTGAGATGTGCTTTGTATGGGATACATGCCGAGTCAGCTTTTCTGTGCCACCTGTGCTACAGAGTAAAGGGACTGGGTGCAATAGCTCACTACCTCAATAAGTTACTTTCACATGTTTTCAATAGATATCAAGGTATGCCTGTTATGATGGTGTGGGGAGAAATTACATGGCAATCTTCCACCCACGCGAAGAGACTTCAGAAAAATAGTCTCTGCTTGGAGTATCAACAAATGGTGAAACGAAAAATAAACTTGAAGACGAATTTTCCCTAGTCATTTTATATCCACTGAAGGTAGATGACCATGGAAAGATGGCCATATTAATACTGAAGTAGTGGAGGAGTAGAATTTTCGAAAGTATGTCAGGGTAGCCATTACTGGAATGTGGGATGAAAAAGATCTCTCTAGAGGGAGATCTTGTGTGTCTTGTTGACCATGTGCAGAAGAATCTGGGTCATACCCCCTATGTTTGCTTTTTGAGTTACTGAGAAGTAAAACCATGATGGAGAAAAAGTACTGATATATGTATCACATATATAGGGGATATATAGCACATCACAACTGTGGATGTGAGACGAACCTTTGCATCCAGGGGATAATGAAAACAGAACTTTGAAAATGTCCCCCAGCCCATGATAATGTATCCCAGGTTGACGGATTTTAGGAATTGTTAGCCCAAAAACTAACATTTTGCTCTGATTAAAAGAATCAGCCCCTGCAAGTATTCAGCTCAATCCATTTCAAAATTAGTAACAGGGCAGCTCCAGTTATGAAAAGGATAATGTTATGTTCACACAAGAAGCACTGCGGAAATACTCAGCTTCTCTGCCAGCTTATGAATGAATTAAAGGATCTAACTGCCTCCATTTCCAAAGGGTTCTTGTGAACTAATATGTGTCATTTGGCGATTTTAAAATCACATCCTGTTCTAGTTGCTCCAGCTGGAGGAAGCTACATATTATAGAAACTAGTGGAAGAAAAATGTGATTTAACCTAACCAATTATCTAGGTCAAGGTGAAGGCAAAGTGCAGCTTTGAAATTCGCATGACACGTAGATGGATCCGTGCGTCAAAGCTAGTTCTGCCGCATGTCTTGCCCGCCCCTGCAACTCAGGCTGTCCAACATTTAGATAGATAAACATTACAATTTTCTCTTTTTTTTCTCATATGGCTTTTGCTTATCATGTCATGCCCTCGCCTCATGCTTCTCTAAGGAGATAGTTTGCAGTTTCCATTCAGAAGTAAGCCTCATTCACTCAGTGACTGCTGTTTCAACGTAAACGATACAAGTCTGATGCCAAATGTTCCAGCCTTCCAGAACTGGCTTCCCACACACTCCTCTCCTTGACAGCAAACTCCTCTCCTTGACATAAGTGCTTTGCTAAGTGTGAGGGAAAGAGTTGTGATTCTGATGCCACAGACATCCCCACTGTCACCACCACCAAGGTACATCTGGAGAGAAAATTTCCCCACATACAGTTTCTCACCATTTTTTTTAAAGATGGAAAGCTAGTCTCCCAACTTTGGGGTGGAATCCAAACACTTTTTTTGCTCTCCTTGCTTTCTGCTCTTGTTTCCCAAAATGGTAAATGGTTTGAATATATGAAGAAATACTGTAGTACGCTTTTGAGTATGTCTAGGAGGGACACAGCAGACCTGCATCTAAAGACAGGACAGCCAGATGTGTGGCATTCAAATCAACAAAACTTCTGCACAACTCACTTGTGTGCTTTCTTCTTGTTTTCAAGCTCTCTTCCAGATTTTTGCCTTGTGTTCACTGGCTCCCTTTGCTTCCTCCCCTTTCCTTCATAACATCTGCCTGTCAGCTGAAAGTACCTGTCACAAGCACAGAGGTCCCAAACCAGAATCATGGGCTGAAGGTGCTGAATGCCATCATGTCTGCTGATGAAAGGCACTTCAGTCTGACAAGATGTATTTGCATGCTAAATAAACATAGCCCTTTCCAGCTGAAAATTATACAGCTTTTTCTTCGCTATAAAGCCAGGATATTTTTATGACTTAAATTCCCTTAGCTGCACTTAACTAGAGCCAGCCCTTCAGGCCTCAGTAATGGTTTCCTTATACCTTAATCACTGAATCCCAGTGGAACTACTGCCTGTCACAGATACAGGGCTCATAGTAACTGATTTCCTATTGCTATAATTACTTGAAGCTATAGGGAGGGTGTGGATGTGGGGCACAGCTTGTTATCACCATAATCATCATTAGTAATTTTAAAAAGTGACCACTTGGAGATCACCCAGAAGAAGCACCAAAGAAGGCACTGGTTTGCATAAACATGATATGTGGATACAGATGCAAAATAATTTTGAAAGAAATCTGCAGGTTACAGAGTGAAGTAAAGGCAATTACAGAAGCAATGTGAGCTCTATTCTGGCTTGTTTGTCTTGGCTGTTGCCCTGTTTTGCAATTGCCTGAACGGTCATGCAACAAGCAGTCTTGAAAACAAGATGAGTGCAACTGATTGCAGGAATATATGCATGCATGCACTCTCTCTCTCACACACACACACAAACACACACACACACACACACACGTACAGTATATACAAGTACAGGCTAAAAATACAGATGTCCCAATCTCTGTCACCATCCTCACCCTCATTAACACCATCAACAGCAGCCACAGCAAGCTGTTATTTAACAATTTCCTCCTCAGAAGCATCATTACAGATACAAGAATATGTTCTTTTTCTCTGCTTGCAGTTGCATCAAAATTCAGATTTCTCAGATGACTTCCAGCTTCTTCAAAATCTTGTTTGTTGTACATGAGTAACATAGGGGGGTGGCTCTCTTTGCACAGAGTGATCAGGTGTCTCCCATCACTCTGGGAGAGGAGCTTCACTTGTTTTGTTGTCATGAGAGGTGATGCACTAGTGTTAGTCCATTAGAGAATAATTATCCTCAGTTCCTGCCAGTACTCCCAAAAGGGTTGTGTCATAAATCTTGACATTTAGATTTCTGCATCTGACCTTTGGATTTATTCTCTTTCATCGACAGAGGGTGGCTGGAAGAAGGAGCTTTTTTTTTTCATAGAATCGAAGCAGTGAAAGCAGTAAGCGGAAGTGACAGTTGTGCAGAGAAAAGCTTAATTAATGTTTGCATAACTCTACGTGGAATAAACTAGGGGCCTCTTTTGATGAAGTCACCTGATTGGGGACAGATGGGCCCTCTATGGTATTCTCTTTGCCATATCAGCAAGCAGCGATTGCATAGGCTTGCCAGTGTTCTTACAATGCCCATTGGAGATTCAGCAGGCCCCCTCCCTCCAGACTTTTGAGAAGTTGGTGAAAACGGGACTGTACAGAGAAGCCTTCAAGGACACCCTTCCCCTTCAGTAGGGTATGATTCATGGCTCAGTCTTTGTTCTAGAAAATAGCAATCATCTCTTAGCTGTTAGTTTGTGTTTGCTGAACTTCTTCGTTTTGTTTTCTGTTTGTCATAGGTTGAGGGTGGGTTGGGTGAATTGTTTGTTTTGGATTCTCACTAAGTGGGGCAGTAAAAAACTGCAATGAACAAATAAAGAAATGGACTACAACTCACAGATGCATAGGGCCCTGTTCTGTTGGATGCAATAGACTAACATGACTGCTTCCTACGGATGAGTACAAATTTCCATTCACCAAATGTACAGATAGGTATTTCATAAAACTGTCCATCTGCACTGCTTGGGTTATTGACCAATCTGCGTGTTTTATTATCACTGAGCTGGCTGGATAGCTCAGTGAGTTGGGCACATGGCAGCAGAGTAAGAGATTGGGAGTTTGCCACTGTACTTCCCAGGAGAAGAGCCAACCTGTGCAATCCCAGATAGCTCCCAGAAAAAGGGAATAAGAAACACTCTTAGGTATCAATACCAGGTGTCAACTATCTGCAATGTGAAAATATCGGATCTTTTGGCCAAACAATCACTCAATATAAAGATACCCTGAAATAGCAAAGATAAAATGCTGTCTTCTCCAGTTATGCTGGGGCCTCTCCATGTATGTTGCTTTTCTCCCTAAGGGATGAATTCTGTCCCTGAGAAAGAATCATATCTGCTCATCTCTCTTTAAAAACGCAAAAAACAAAATGCAATTGCACAGATCAGAGAACTGTGCTTTAATCCTCTCCCTCCCCCCTCTGCTGAAAGTAAGTGAAACCAACAGCGCTTTGCATTCAGCTTGTCAGCTTATTACTAAAGGCACCAGTTCTCCAGCTGAACACACTTAAGACAGAAAGATGAACATGATCTTCATGAAATATACAAAATAAATCCTTTTGAACATTGTTTGAACAGCTTCTCAGGCCTTCTCTTCTACGTCTTCCCCCGAACTTGTTTCATGTATAGAGTTACGTACATTTAAAATTGACAGCATTTTAATTAGAAAGGCAAATTTGGTGTTCCAAAGCTGCGGTGCTTAGAGAAGATATCCTAGATTTGCTGTTAAACTCATTTTTAATAAAGGCTTATTTAGTCAACTGATATATTTGTCACAGAGCGAATGTATGAAAAAACAAGAGATGAAAGAAGCACACATGCCTTTCCCCCTCCCCTCCTCTTGTTACCACCATGATTTGGCCATGAAATCAAAAG